AAGGGCCGAGCGGACCCGGGGCCGCCCAGTGCGCGGAGGCAGAGGGGCCCCCAAAACCCGCACCGCGGACGTCTTAGTGGACTGGCTAAGCCCGGGGGTTTCCCTCCGTTCAGAAGTCAGCTGGGCGTTTCTGCTGGCGTGGAGAGCGCTGCCAGGTGCCCCCGGATTTTGATCCGGAGTCGCTTTTGCCTTTCCGTGGACAAGCCTTCCTCCGCCAGCAGATGCCCTGGGCAGGAAGAGAAGCGGTGGGGGAGTGGAAAGGGCCTTGGTATGGAAGCGTAGAGACCGAATTCCTTCTCATGTGCCGGCTCTGTGGCCATGGGCACATTATCTGTTTTATTAGACCGGCTCATCGTTTCTTTCAAAAACCATTTCGGACCTTTCTGGGAAGGCAAAGAAGAGGAGCGGAGTGGACTGTGAGCGGACGTAAACCACCCTGATGGGTATGATTTCCATTTTTTACACGTGAGTCCAGAGATTTTGTGACCCTCTCCAAGGACATACAGCAATCCCTTGAGAGCCCCAAGACCAGAGTCCAGTTGCCATGACATTGCTTCCCTATAACCACACTCTGGGTGAGCTTTTACTTCTGTGACATGGAATGTGCATCTCCCTCTTCTATAGCAACCCTCATGAGATTTCAGCTCAGAAAATGCAAAATGTCTGACACTGAAAAAACATCTTCAAATGTCGTTATATCAAACCAGACACAGTAGTATTCAGAATCTCGTAGTAGGATGGGGGTATGAGAAGAGGTGTGAACTAGTCTATATGGATTGCAGTCAATTTTTTTTATTATTATTATTTTGAGACAGAATCTCCCTCTGTCACCAGGTTGGAGTGCAGTGGCGCCATCTTGGCTCACCACAACCTCCGCCTCCCGGGTTCAAGCGATTCTCCTGCCTCTGCCTCCCGGGTAGCTGGGACTGCAGGTACGTGCAACCACGCCCGGCTAATTTTTGTATTTTTAGTAGAGACGGGGTTTCACCATGTTGACCAGGATGGTCTCGATCTCTTGATCTCCTGATCCGCCCGCCTCGGCCAAAGTGGGATTACAGGCCTGAGCCACCGCGGCCGGCCTTGTTGTCTATTTTTAAAGGAATTATTTTGTTGTGTGCAAGTGTATCCGGTATTTTAAAGGTTTTACAATAAAGGTTTTACCAAGCCCGTTTATTTCTACTGAATAGTCATCCTCTACCGTTTGCTACAGATCCCTTCCGTGCCTCTTTGCTCTGCTCTGGATTGCAGTGGGCTGAGTCTTGTAGGGGGCAGTTTCTCAGGCTCCCAGAGCATCTGGCTTCAGGCCTCGATCGGTGTAGCCAATGGGAGGCAGTGGCAGTAGAAGAGAAGGCAGGAGGAAAGAAAAAACCAGGGTATTTCTTCTCTTTCTCTCTCTTGCTCAGGCTCAGATGACATCTCCAGCAGCAGATGAGGCCTCTCTGTGGCTCCAGCTCATGGATAGGTAGCTGTGGTCCCAACATCTGTAGGGTGATCCATGCCCCTGGGCTCTATTCAGTCGGCCTCCTCTTTTTGTCCCTGCAGGTTAGGAGGGACAGCTTCTTGCTTTTGCTAATCTCTGTACAGCCTCTCTCTGTCCCCTGCTGGGCTTTCCAGACCTCCCATTACCCCTGTTAATCATGTCACCAAAACCCTGCATTACATTCTCTCTGTTTTCAATACGTAAAGTGGTTCCCTCCTGGTGGGGCCCAGTGGCTCACACCTGCAATCCCAGCAGTTTGGGAGGCTGAGGCAGATGGCTCACTTGAGGTCAGGAGTTCGAGACCGCCTGGCCAACATGGCGAAACCCCGTCTCTACTATTAAAAAAAAAAAAAAGAAGAAATTAGCCCGGCATAGTGGTGTGTGCCTGTAATCCCAGCTACTTAGGCGGCTGAGTAAGGAGGATCGCTTAAGCCCAGGAGGTGGAGGTTGCAGTGAGCCAAGATCGTGCCGCTGCACTCAACTGCAGCCTGGGCGACAGAGCTAGACTGTCTAAAAAAAAAGCGGTCCCTATTTTCCTGTTGAACCTTGAGTGATACACCCAGTATTGTGCCATCCAATTAGTAGACATTATTTCTTTTAGGTCATATTATTCTCAGCTTATAGAGCAGGGTTAGATTACCTGCCCAAGGTAATACAGCAAGAATCTTTCATCCAAGCTAGAGTAATTATTTCCCCCACATTTTAATATCCCTCAAATGGCGATGCTTTCTATAATCAACATCAATATGAAGCTTAGGACTGAAGTTTTAGAACTATCAGGAAAGTGAAAGATGGCTTTTCTGGCATTTAGACTGTGCTGTTACCAGCAGAAGGTAAGCTATGTTTAGAATGAGACACAGATGAGGCCATTTCATGACCACAAAGTGACTTCACCTTTTTTTTTTTTTTTGAGACAGAATCTCACTTTGTCGCCCAGCCTGGAGCGCAGTGGTGCGATCTCGGCTCACTGCAACCTCTGCCTCCCAGGCTCAAGCAATTCTCTGCCTCAGCCTCCCAAAGCAGCTGGGATTACAGGCGCCCACCACCACACTTGGCTAATTTTTGTATTTTTAGTAGAGTCGCGGTTTCACCATCTTGTCCAGGCTGGTCTTGAACTCCTGACCTTGTGATCCACCCGCCTTGGCCTCCCAAAGTGTTGGGATTACAGGCGTGAGCCACTGCTCCTGGCCTTT